CATGAAATGCTAATAAATTATTTTGTCTTACATTATTGGGTATTGTAGGTGGCTTATGATTCTACTGGTTCCGTTCAAAATTAATTTGCTGCTGAAATATCATGTTAAAAATAAAAATAAAGATAGTAGTAGAAAATGAAGCTCAATATACAGTAATGTACAGTTTAAAGTATAGCTCTGTATAAAATACATTTTTGAGAAGCTATGAGAAAAATGTATTAGAAATACTAGTTTAACAGCATCATATAGCTGTTTCAGGAGCACACGTGCAAATTGTGTAAGGAAGGAGTCATAACATTTCCTGGGGAGGGCATCAATGAGGTTTTCAGTTGAAATGTTTGGGTATGGCCACAGCTGTTGGATTGGCTTGAGGCCACCTCAAGGTACAACAGGTGGGATGTGGCTGAGAATTAATAACCTCTCAACAGATTTTACCCGTTTGGAGCTTCTCTGGCATCATCCTGGTAGAGTGGAGGACAGAGTGGAATTTATCTTCAGAAGGCACAGCCCACCTCCATAGTATGTAGAGCTCGCATTTATGCACTGAGAAAGTAATTTGTTTAAAGACTCTGAATTTCTTTGTCTGTTATCCTTCCTCGCTCTTGGAATCTGTTGTTAAAACTCTCCTGGTCTCTGTCCCTGTGGGGAGGTTCCTGCAGAGATCCATCTGCCTGTGGGCTGAGATGGGGCAGTCCTTGGTGCCTCCTGGCCTTTGGCCTGCCTATGGACTTACAGGCATGTATTAGATGATGTTTGCGTGGAGCTGGACAAGATACTCTTTACATAGGTTGGGGAAGCTTTAGTAGACCCAGAAAGAGTATGGTCCCATACAGGTGGATTTGTGTTGCTTAGTTGAGTGGTCAGACTCAATCCATTTTCATTCCAGCCTCATTGCAGTGAAGTTCAGACTGTAGTACATAGTGCATGGGACACGATGTTAAACACAGTAGTTTCAGGTTGTTCCTGAAGGAGTGGAGCCTCCATGGCATTTAGCTCTCTGCTGCTGAGCCTTTGCTGACATGGGTCTGCCAAGTACAGGTTTCATCTGTTCTGGTGACCCCTTCTATGATTTTGTCTCGTTGCATCTTATTTTACATGTTTTATTGCTTAAATTAGGATAATACAATGGTATCATGAGAGGTAATAAAATAATAGTTATGAAATGCACTGTGAAGCATACATGTATTCACAAATATTCCAAAGTATGACTACATGAGTAAAACATTTTGACATTAAAGGAGAAGGATGTCGTCAGTTAGAACTGCTGGCAGTGGTATGTGATAAGGTTGTCTGCTCTTTATTTGGTATGCCAGCTGATGAAAGAAAAATATTTATTTTTTAGAGGTGAAAAATGCAGGCATTTTCATCAGCTTAAATGAAAAGAGCCAAGTAGTTCTAAATACTATTGTGTGAAATCATGTTTCATCCCTGTAAGTGGTTTTCTGTGTGGAAGGTGTGCTGTAATCGGGATGGGTCTGTCTTTTCAGCTCAGCTAATCGTTTCCTTTCACAAATCCAGAATGCATGCAGATTTGAACTTGTAGCCAGGAAAAAGTGCTGCCATGCTTCAAATTGCCAAAGGACCTCAAGGGACAGAAACTTGACCTGGTTTTATGAAACCATAGAATTACATTTATACAAGTTACCCCATGGGAAAGGAATGAACTGATCCCAATTCATTTCTAAATACTGGGGCCTTATGGGTCACATTTGAATTCTCTCCTACACCTGTTTTTCTACTGAATTTTTCCGAGGACATTTTTAGAAACTTACTTTACGTTAGGTATGGGTCATGTGCCTAATATTTAACAGTTCAATGTTCTAATTCTTTAAAATGTCTAATGGTTTCTCACTATAATTAAGCTGCAAAAAGTTTAAATTATAGAATTTGTTCGGTATGGGCTAAATCCTCAAAACGTGAACTCTCCTTTGGGTTTAGTAACTTAGGCTTCTTTTTCCTGCATGTGAAATGCAAACATAGAGCAGGCAGTGACTATAGTCGGTAGATGTTGTATGGACTACAGAGAAGAGAGTGACTCTGCAGATGGGTCATTAGGCTGCTCACTAGGGACGTGGGACGTGGGACATGGTGGCTCAAGGTTCAAAAAGGGTTACCCAATGAGACAGTTTACAAGAAGACACCAAGACTCCTTTCTTCCTTCCTCTGAAATGACCTTTCTCCTTCCCTCAATCAGACTAAAAATTTCAGATTTGGAAAATCGAGGTTCAGACCTCCTCTTGGAATCAATTAAAGTAATGAGTAGGTGCCACCATGGCTTTCCTCTTTCAGTACTTTGGTTTGAGCTAGAAGCCTAAATACCCTACAGTGAGTGCTTTTACCCCTCTCTGGTGAGGTGGTATGGTACTTAAGGTGTCCAAGTGTTTCTGCCAGTGTAGTGCCAGGCTGGAGTATGCCAGCTAAGTTGAAACAGTGGGCCCTAAGGACAGGGAAGGGTTCATTAGTTCATTTGAATATCTGGAACTATATCCTTATAGGGTTACATTAAAATTAGAATTTGCTTGCATTTTGATTTATTTAACAAACTAAGTGAGTGCTCTGTTCAGCTTAAGTTTGCCTCAGCAATTGCTATCCCACAGAGGCTCTGCAAACCTTCCGGGCTTCGCTTCCACCTTCTTGTGGAAACCATTTCCTTTTCTCAGGCAATCTTTCCCATCCTTGAAAGACATTTTCAGTGCTGAAATTGGCATTAAGTGCCTGCATAAGTAAGTCTACCTGTTTCTAGTGAATGAGTGACAGATTTAGATACTACTCATCTAGTATAGATTGCTTTTCTCTTTATACACCATCTTAACACTTTAGATCAACGGAACGGCTCAGCTGATGATCCCTGGCTGTAGATTTTCTACTCCTCAACGTGGATGTGGCAGAGGAGGCTTTTGTGTGGAATTACTGCTCCCAATGTCACCTAGTCCTGAGTTTGTAGTCACTTTTTTGGCTTGGGCAAAAAGGATTGGAAAGTGAGAAATGGGAATAACCATGTTACCACAACAAGTAAGAAGATATTTATTTACTCTGCTTGCTTTTCACACCGGTGAATTTTTCTGTACAGTTTGTATTAAGCCATTCATGACTTTGCCGCTCTGGATAACCATACTGTTTTGTGAGGCATCATCATAGGACTGTTATTCATGGCCTGCGCTTCCTTTGACTAGCAGAGTGAAGGGCAAGTCTTCTAAATGGTGATTACTTATCACCATTATGTATTTATTATAAATGTGTACATAATGTCCCTCTCTAATTCACCTCAAAGAAGTGGTCATATCGATCCCTAAGCTCTTTTTTTGTCTTTCTCTAAGTCAGCCTTACGCTTTTAGCGATTCAGTTTTTGTTCATACCATCAACAGGTTTGACTACTGTGTGATACTGATATCCTGAGGGGGTAGAGCGGGACATTTTTTCCAAGACACAGAGAATGGTTTTGTTCCCAAATGATTTTTAATGGAGGGTAAAGGTCCGGTTGCATTCGGGGGCTTAAACATTTTTCTTAAGCACTTATTTGCTTGGCTTTTCCTTTGTAGTTGTGTTGTTCATAAGTTGGGTAGAAGATGCATTAATTTTGCGGTATCCGGAGTAACTTTAGATCAGGCTAGTCTAAGTCTTTTGACTTATCAATAAAATGTTTTGGCTGCTTTCTAATTTTGGTGGTAAATAAGGGAAATCTTTAAGATCAGCTGTAGGGGCAATGAATGCTTCATTGTGATTGAAATGTTTGTCTTAAATTTTCTTTGCATCTAAACTAGAGAGGAAAAAACTCCTTTGTTACCTGTTTAATCATAAAACAGCAACTCAGAGTGAAGGAACAAATTCAGATCTTTGAAAATCTAAACTCTTCCCTTTCCTTCTGTTTACTTTCTTCCCCTCACACAGCTCTCTGGATTTTGAAGAAAATGAAGATGAAAATTTACAGTTCTTCATGGAAGCCCCATTTTATTAGGCACTGTGAAAACTTCAAATACAGAGGATTCTTGGTTGGAAGCAGTTGCTAACCCTAGCAGTAGCAGTAGGGACAAGAGCCCTCAGGCTATGGGGCTGGGAACATGCTGAAGAGTAGCATAGTGAAGAGACAAAAGTGAAAGGCTGGTTGACAGCATGTTAAAGCAAATTTACCCGGTGTTACTGTTACATGCAGCCTTATAAGTTTACATATGTATAATCAAATTGTCAGTCTTTGGATCACAAATGTTTCCTTTCTCTTTGGTAAGTAAGACTGTGTTTAGAGCAGTGCCTGGGAAAGCAAGCAAGAAGAAATAAGCTTTGCTTTGGAGTTTGATGTGGGATGAGATTCTTGTGGCAGAGATCCTAGATGGGAAGCAGGTATTTGTGTTTTTATTATATACCTGAAAGAATGGATTACCTCCATCTCCTTTAATCGCCTCTTTTCTGGGGCTGGTATCCATATGGAGATAAAAGAAGTTACTGTTAGAACATAAGACTGAGTTTTGCTGATTATTCCTCCACTAAACACTAACATGCAAATATCAGGCATTGATTATGCCTCAGCATAGCCTCAGCCAGGAGAGAAACTAGAATGAAATAGTTTGTTAGACACTTTTTCTTTTAGAAATTCATTAATTCTGGAAATTCTCACCTATGCTTTGTATGGTTCTAAATTTACTTCAAAAATATATAGCTGTAATTCCCAGGTTTCTTCATACTTTTCCATATCACATGTGCAATAATGAATATAGTCACTGTGATACTGGATTGCACGTAAAAGTCTTAATCCTGCAAGTGGGAAGGAAACTGGCTTGTGTAAGCAGTCCTGTTGCCTATAGCGTCTCAGTTGGATGATTTATAGGAATAAAATTATGCAGGTCCTTAAATATTGGCAGTATTGGAACCCACATGGCATAGCTAGCAGAGTTTTCATAAGCTGGAGTTTCACAGATACTGGCAACCAAGTGTGGGAACGATCAAAGAACATTATTTGTAATCAAAATGTGAGTTAGGTGTTTATAAAACAACTGGTGGGTGCTCATATGCATGTGAAATTTGCTTACACGAGTAATCCCATTGATTTAAATGAGAGCATTCATGTGATGAAAACAAGTTCAATGCAGGAACGTTTAGAAGATGGTGACCTTAGAAACGAACAGTCGTCTTTGGAAGTATTCAAAGGGTGGTTATTAAAACTTAAAGCTGAGAGTTGCTGTTTGAAGGGAGAAATGGCTAGAAAGATGTTTGGGGAGCTCACCTGCCAAATAATAATGCATTTTAATGATGCCGGGTAACTCTGCCTCAACTTCCTCGCACTCTTTTTTTTTGGGGAGGGGGTGGGGGAAGGGATGGGAAGGAGGGCGAGAGAGGGACGGTGACAGCGAGGCTGTTTGTTTTTCCCGAAAGTTGTTTGTGATTTCAGGTACTCATGGGAAATCTCTTGATCAGATTCACATCTGTTCCTGTCAAAGTGGGTGCTAAGATACCGGTCACCCAGCAACCATGTCCAAGAGGGAATTGGGCCGATAATAACTTCAAAAAGGAATGACAGATGCTAGATTAGGATGAAAGACAAAACGCATGAAAAATGAGCTTGTTAGAATAAAAAAATTCTTCAAGCACCTTCATGCAAATTAAATGAATATTGAACATTTGCATGCAGTAATTTCTACTTTTTCTGTTGATTGAGAAGAAATAAAGACGGCACATATAAAAACATAAATGTAATTTTTTTTTTTCACCAATTAACATACAAAGCAGTATCTTTCTTCTAAAAATGAGATTAGCCACCTGGGTGCTTGGCTGTATCCCACATATGTCGCAACATTTTTGTAATGAGTATGCTTCTGTTGAAGGAACACCTTATCTAATTTTTCGTAGCAAAACAAACAAGGAAGCAACCTTATATTAATTTTAGAATACTTTAGGTTAGCATGGTTCTATTTTTTTTCAGCTGTGGTTTTCAGAGCTGAATTATTTCCTGCTGTCCTTGAATTCAATCGGTATAATGTGCATTAATAAAAGATCACATATGATGAGTTCAGACCAAATGCTAAGGTTTCCTATTGACTGGTCAAACAATACATTTTTTAAAACGCGATGTCTGTCAGGGTAACGTGAAAAAGAAATAGTTACTTTTCCATGCCTATGTATTAAGATAATTTAAATAATCTAACAATTTTATTATTGAAACGTTCATATAACAATCAGAATTTGGAAAAGAATGATAAAATGTTCTGATTGAGAAAGGACTCTGTGTCTTAGTTTAGCAATGTCTAATGTGGTCACGTACAGAAATTGATTTTCTTCAGAAATTAATTAATTTTTCATATCGCCCTAAGCTGCAGTTAAAAAGAGTGCATACTTGTCTGTTTTTTCCAGAAATATTGCCTAATCATATTAATACCATTGCCCCAAGGATGAAAAGATAATTGTACAAATGCATTTGGAAATATGTATCACTGAGTATTTATGATTAAATTATGCAAATGACCCAGCTCTCATCCTTTCCAGACCCAGATTGTCTAATTAGGATTGATATGCTGAATAGATGTTCCAGAATTTGAATACAAGCATGTCCAAAGAGCAGAAAATTGGAAATGACAAGGCTGAAATGCTAAGAAAAGTGTCTTTCCCTTTTATACTTTACTAATGTGGTGTTAGCAGTTGCAGTTTTTCCTTTGGCTATATTGTGTGACTCATGTGTCCTACAAGAAATAAGTCAGGAAAGAAAAATCAACTTTCATAAATAGCATTACTTTGCTCCAGACTTATTTTTCTTTAAAAGCCTGCTTAGTCCTTCCTCTCCCCTTTAAAGCTTTGTACCCTTCATGTTAAAATAATGATGTATTCCACATAAATTACTTCTTAATTTGGAGCACTGTTGTTTGTAGCTTGTCTCCAGCTGCCGGTGCTAGATATTTAGCTTGTCAGCTTCTCATGTATTCAGACGAGATTTACACACCTAACATTTTTAAGTTTGGTGGGTATTTTTGGTTCTTATTTATTTGAATTCACAATTCCTTAACGTAACAACCTTTTTTTTTTTTTTTTTAAGAAGAGAGCTGATGTCTCATTAAGCTTGTTTATAGACATTCTGAGTTGTAGTAATAGCTATCAGCAAGTCTACAGCGTTTAAATCCTTCTTCTTCAGTGGGCTGTTTGTTCATTTATCGCTCTTGGGAAGCTGGGAGAAGAGCCTGGTGAGGAGCAAGGAGTAGTAGTGAACTGTCAGTACTTCAGCCATTGTTAGCAGCGGGAGTCGCTCCCTCTGAACTCTGTTGGCTCCTGCTTCCCATCTGCGGGATGATGGATTGCTATGTTTAATACATTTCAGCTTTTGTCTGTCATAGTGTGGATAGACAGCGCTATCAATGATTTCAACACTGATTAGAGCACTGGTTGTACCCACTGCTATTGGGCAGGCACCTCCCAGGAATGTTTGATGTAGGAACTCGTTGGCACTCTCACCATGCAAATGAGTTGCTTGGCTAACTCGTTTTAAACACCTACAAAAGACTGCTGGGAATTACTAAATCTGCACAGCCCCTCCGGAACAAAATTCAGACACCCCTGCAAATGCTTTGGTACCAAATGTAAATGCTCATCCCGAGAAGTCCTGACCTCAGAGAGAAACGCCTCATGCTTTTAATGGAGCGGGGATGGGAGGAGGGTTGCAGGGATGCATTCCAGGGAGTGTGATGTCAGTGGTGCTTGGCTCATCTGTACTTAAGTGTTTCGCTACTGGTGATACGGTAGGAGTGCAAGGGTTGCGTTGAAGCAATAAGATACGACATGACATGTGTCGTACGAGGATTTGCTAAGCCGTGGGTGCTTTGTGATTCACAGGTCCACAGGGCTGAATGATTTCAACCACCAGAGAAGTCGCTGTACACCAGCACAACATATGCCCTGGAGTATCTTCTAATAATTATAAAATGGTGCAATGGACATATAAATTGGAAAAAAAAGATAATCGTGTTGTAGGCATCATTTTAGAGAAGTGGATATATATTATTTTCATTATTGACATATTAATTTTCCACTCTTAGAAGAAATTATTATTCAAAATCTTAAGTGTGAAAGTGTTGTATCAGAAACAAATAGATGATTATGCTTTCTAAAGCATATAATATTAGCTTTAAAAGATGCTTGACCCAGTTTTCTTGATTTGGACTGTTGCCCACCATGGCAGGCCAGGCTGAGGATAACTTTCACTTCATTTTGGACTGTGGAAGGAAGGGAAGTTAAATCAGGAGATATTAATCATCCTTGATTTAGCTTTGTTAGTAGAGATGTTAATTTACAAAACCAGAAGAATGAGTAACTAATAAAACTCGCCAATAACAAAAGTAGAGAAATTGCCAGGCTTAAATGTGTTTTCTTTACCCCTACTTTCACTTTATATTCACTTGGCTGTGGCCTTTTTGCTTTTAAAAAATTCCTTCACCTTTGGTTATACCATCCTTCAACTTCCATGCTTACAGGCAGTGGTTTGTAATTTCTCTGTTGTGCTTGCTGGAAAGGTAAGCTCCACAGCACAGTCGTGGGATGCCATTTTTATTCCTTTTTAAGATGATCCAGGCAGTGGCAATGCTCATAGGGAGGAGTGTTCATGCTAATTAAAAGCTCGAGTTTACCTTTCAAAAAAATATTGGCAATTTGCCTGGGAGAAAATTCTGTCTTCAGTCACCATTTTTAATCTACTTGGCTGTTTGGAGTTATCTTCACTTTAAGAGTTGCCTGGTTTTAAAAGTTGCCTGGATGTTGAAGTAGTTTCTTTGACATCATTCCTAAGTGCTCACTCGCCATATATGATGATCAGAGGGTCTGAAGGCTTTGTGGAAAGGACTATCAGTAAGAAGGAGGGCATAATCTTGACATTTACAGCTGCCAGCTTTTCTCAATTTAGGCTCCCTTCATTAGCAATGGCTGCACGGTGGTAAAACAAGGAAACTTGAGGAGTGCTTTGCAAATTTAAGAGAAAAGTAAAAAATAAAGGGTCTGAACATATTAAACCTTTCCTGATTTTTTTTCTCCTTCAAAATAAATGACATTTGGCTAGAAATCGTGAAAAGGGTTGTTTTTGTGCAGAGATCAATAGCTAGAGCGTTCATACATGCACAGAGAGGAAATAACAGCAACTTGAAAGTTAATGAAAAGCAAGTATGAAATAAATCCATGTATTAGTAGGTGATGTATTAATAAATATGATAGGTGAAGGAATCAGATAAATGGTTCCTTAATCAGATAAAAGATCTCTGTTGTTTATATTCTTTCTGTAGAAGTAAGGCTGTGATTTACAGCCTTTTTTGATAGCAGGGCTGGTTTAGGTAATTTTGCCCCTCTGCTGTTTTCTTCTGGCACCGTGATCGCATTCCTGTACAGCTATGGCTGTACAACCGTGCGTGATCGTTTTCTGCACAGGATCAGGTCTAGGTTAAAAATGCTTCCCGCTTACTCCCCCTTTTTCAGTATTATTTTTATTAACCCTGATCTGTTTTGGGAAAACAGTTCACCATGTGTTTTCATCAGCGGTTGTGCCGTTACAAGTGAACGGGCAACGGGGACAGAAATGAATGATGGTGGCAGGACGGGGGGGGAACTGTGCCTTCAATTTTATGTATCGTCGTCCTGTGTGCCATCCTAACTGCAGAGTCCTGAGCCTAGCCTGAGAAATGAACTGTGGATTACACAGCGGTTTTAACACTATATTTAAAAGGAGGAAACCGGAGGGGGGTCAGCACTAATGAACGGAGAAGTAAAATCTTTGAAAGAAAAATATATGAATGCAGTGAAATCCACGTTCCTCTCTCTTGGAAATCTGCTTTACTAAATCTTGGCAAGCTGGCCTGCTGTGTATAGCAAAACAAATGCTGTCGGTCTCTGAGGTACAGCATGATTTCGGCCCTTGGATGCTCCCCCTAGCCCCGTTCTGGTGGCAGGGAAAGATGAGACATGGGTGTGCACCATCTTCCATGCCTCCCATATCTCAGCTTGTTCAGGGAGAGGAAGCCCACTTGTTACAGAGCATCCTCTGCTCTGTGGGACGTACTGCACAGTAGAAGAACCCTGGAGCTTAGGTTAAGCCTAAGTCTCTGCTGGTGGAGTGAGGTGGAGGGAAAGCCCTAAATTGTTATGCTTTTTTGGGTGGACTTTCATCACTCTTGCCTTCTTTGGTATCTCTTTTCCCCTGGTAATGGCATATACATTAGTATAGAAAGCATCTCCTATAGCTATGCAGGATCTGACAGTGTCACTTAGACCTCTGGGTTCTGATACAGTATAAAA